CATAGGGCCTTCAGGTTGCGGTGACGCGACCTGGGGGCCCTATTCCAACCTCGGGTCCCGTGAGGGGCCCGTGTGTAGGCTTTCAGCATGTAACAGAGAGGGACTCACTGGTGTGTTGCATTGAGCGGTCATAGACAATTCTGTTTACTTGAGTTGATTGCTGAGACTATTCTTGAGTTCATATCTCATGCGTGCTTCTTGTGTGTCAGGCCTTGTGTGAGAATAGTGTGAAAGTGTGCGATGCATGGTGGTCTCAATTTATTTGCTTCTTTCTCATCCTTATACCACTTCCCGGTTTCTCCCACTTGAGGTCTCCTGTTAACTCCTCCCCTCCGCCTTGCGTATCCCTTCATATCCCCTCCCATCCCATCTCAACTATTCCCCTGCATCATCCCTGTCTGATGTTTCTTCTCGGTATATTGTGTGGCTATGCCTTGATCATACTCCATCCATTGCAGTTGTTTTGGAATACGATGGCATACAGTCTGCTCTGGTACACAATCGCATCTGCATGCTCTGCTTTGCAGCTGGCAGTGACGGACTACTTGTGCCTCCAGTGGAGGCAAAGGCTTACACAAGCAGCACATGAGGGCTATTTTCAAGGCCAAAATATCTTACTCCTAGCTTGTCAGCAGCGCTGTCGGGTCTCATCATTCCAACTTGATGTTACAGATAACCAAGACCCAACCTCGGCAGCTCCATTGAAACTCGCACCGCTTTCGGATGTTTTTGAGAGCAGTGGGGCAAAGAGCAAGACAACAGAAAAGCAGAGTGTCGCTGGCAACGATGCCCGCCCTGATCACCTGCCGCGATCTGATCTGCTATCTTCTTCCTCTGGTTTCCCCGACTTTGATCGGATGTCACCATCCGATCTATCATCATCTGCTGGTCTGGTTCACGGACTGCAAGGAATGGTCGGGCAGAAGGAACAAATCGGGTTCCGAGCGGGGACTGCTGGTAGTTATGGTGATGGTGATGCTGTCCAGGTTGTTGTGATGAAATGCGATCGCGCGGCTGATGTCGAGGCAAGGGGTAAAGCACGAGGCATGTTGGTCCAGCGTGATGTGGATAATCCAGACCAGAGGATGACAGATGAGATACGGAGTCTTTGTACCAGCCTTGGTGTGTTCATGACCAACACATTTACAGCACCGTTGACCGTTGTTTATTACTCGTATGTGGTTTGGCGATATGTTGGCTGGGTTGGGCCATTTGGCGTGTACGCCTTCTTCTTCCTCGGGTCGATGGTGACACGCAAAATCATCACTCCAATTGCAGCCCTCGTGGCTCGACAAGAGAAGCTGGAGGGCAATTTTCGCGTCGGGCATGTTAGGTGAGGTGCAATTTTATATTTTATTTTTTCCCTTGTGAGAATGTTAGATGAGGTGTGAAATAATAGAGCCTCTGCAAATTTGAAAAATTCTTATAAGGGAATACTGCAATCAGACTCGTTTTCAAACACACTTTTCATGCATGTAAACAGCAACGCAGCATACTGGCGACATGCGCCCACTCAAAACTCAGAGATATGGCTTTCAGATACGAGTTCACTCTCAATTGGCTATGGCGACTTCAGCGCCCAAACATTTCAC